ACCCAGGTTTGTGTGTGTGTGTCTGTTCGTTTGTATATTGGATCGGATTTTTTCACATTTTGAAAGCCGATTTCAACAAAACTTCACAGGACTACGTAAAATTACCTTGCGGTGGTTCTGACAGCGCCAAAAATTGAAAAACACAATTGTTTTTGCACGAAATCAATTTGAAAACACGAATAAGAGGCATCGCTGTCGAGAATGAAAGGGGGACAACTCATATCGAGTTATACTTATTATAAAACCCAGGTTGTTTTTGTGTGTGTTTCTGTGTTCGTTTATATATGGGATCGGATTCCCTACATTTTTCAACCGATTTCAATAAAACTTCACTTTTTGGGGACAGGTTGCGTTTCTTATTGTCTTGCACACTTTTTTCGTTATTTTTACATTCAGAATGCTTTAAAACTTCCATTTACAAGTCAATTGTTTATAATAAAATTCTATTCAATCGGTAGACTCATAACGATTGAAAACAATATTTTTGTTTGAGTTTGGGTTTGACCAATAAAAAAAAAAAAAAACTAATTAAGACATGCGTGTCCGTCAACCTTAAACAATGATCTTTGTCAATTTTATTTTTCAGTCTTTATGATGGTCGATACTTGATCTATCTCTTATTGTTACATCCCGGGCAACGCCATAAGTTCTGTCCGAATTTTGAATAAAGAAAACAAGTGACCAAATGTTACATTTAATTACAGATTCAATCAACAATATATTTTCCCTGATTATCTATGACTTCCTTCCATCTATTAACAAGCTTACTAATTCCATTACTGTAAAATTCTTTTGGCTTTGATTCGAAGAAATCACAAATGTCAGTTTTAACTTCTTCCTGTGTTACAAAAGCTGTTTCTTCCAAATGATTCTGTAAGCTACGAAACAAATAGTAGTCTGAAGGAGCAAGATCGGGAGAATAAGATGGATGAGGAATTTTCTCCCAACCAAGTTCTTCGGTTTTTTGTGACGTGATCCTTGCTGTGTGAGGTCGCGCATTGTCCTGATGAAACATCACCTCTTTTCGATTCACTAGAGCAGGTCTTTTTCCTCAAAGCTTGGTTCAAACGCTCTAATGGCTGACAGTATATTTGAGCATTAATTGTTGCATTAGGTGGTAAGAATTCAAAGTGGATTATTCCTTGGCGATCCCACCAGATTGAAAGAAGAACCTTTTTGCCCATGAAGTTCCCTTCTCGGCTGTGGCTGGGGTCCTTCCCTTTACCAAGCCACTGTCTACGACGCTTAACATTTCGATAAAATATCCATTTTTCGTCGCCAGTCACAAGTCTATCCATAAAAGGTGAAACAAGTAAGCGAGAATGGAGAGAAGAGCAGATGTCAACTCGGGATTTGAGGTTGTTTTCAGACAATTCATGAGGCACCCATTTTCCAAGTTAGGAACTTTTCCGAGTTGTTGAAGATGACGATGAACAGTTGTATGGTTTGAACTGAGAACCACTGCCAATTCCTCAACTGATAAAGCAGGATTTTCTTCAAGGGCTGCTTCAAGAAGCTTTTCATCAAACTCAACTGGACGTCCGGTTCGATCTTCATCTTCAAGGGTGAAATCTCCACCTCTGAATTTTGCAAACCATCTTCTGCAAGTTCTTTCATTCAAACATTCCTCTCCATAAACTGAGTGAATGTTTCTAGCCGCTTCGGCTGCTGAGTTTCCTTTCTTGAACTCATAAAGCATTATGTGCCTCAAATGATTCTTGGGTACTTCCATGTTAGCAGGGTTTTAATCAAACAAAATTTAATTTTATTGTTCTCTGAAATAAAATTTGATCAGTTTAAATGCATCTAAACATAAAAATAATGTTCAGCTCCATTAGACATTATAAAATACTCTTTAAATGTCGTTCATTTTAACAAAAAGTTAAAATTCGGACAGAACTTATGGGATGACCTGATATATATATATATATATATATATATATATATATACCATATCGTATTGAAAATACTCGTCAATAGAATTAGGACAGCTAAAAAAATTATTATTGCAGACGCTCACTCAGGCGCATTTGTGTTTGCTCAACAGCCACAGAGCCCACCTGTGGTTTTATAAAAAACTATGGTGAGCAGACTTCAAATTTTTTTTGGAAGAGAGCGTATTATCTAGCGGGATCAACAATTTGAACAATAAAAAAAACGCAACGTCATCGGACACGATGACTTTTTGCTTCAAAATCAAATTTCCGTCTAATATATTTAGAATTTCACAAATTTAATTTGGGCCAATCTTTGGTATGTTTTTCAGGCACTTTCAAAAGTTGCTGCACGCTAGGGTCATCCCCCTCCTGACCGACTGACATATCAACTGTGGTGAGATTTGAATTGAAACAAAAATGGTCTGAAAGCGAACGTTCACGCGCCCATATATGAACAGTTAATTGAATGACTCAATGAGAAAAACACCCACCACGCATTTCATCCCTAGAAAGATTCATCTTCAACCAAATTGTGGTTTTATCAATTATGACAGTTTTATATCTATTTATGTTTTCATATATTTCTAAGTATCTCAGTCTCTTCATATCTATCTATCTATCTATCTATCTATCTATCGAACTATAAAAAAAACTTAAAAAAAACTGGCAACTTTACATTCGCAAAGGTGGGGGGTGACAACAGGAAACCACTCTAAAATCTTTCTCAACAACAAACATGGCAAGACAGTTTATAAATATCAAATAAAATCAAATTGTCCAGATATTTTTTGCACATGTGTATCATGGCACTTATAGAGAAATTGATGGAATATAAGTTGAAACTAGTAGCCGTTCTTTTATTTATTTATTTTTAATTAACGTTATTCTTCGTACATATATAATTCAACTAATTTCACATCAAAACTAACGCCTCATGAAATTGGGCCAGTATGCAATCTATTAAAATAACGAATTAATAAGAAGTGTAATAGTCTGACGTAACCGAATCAGTTCGCTGGTTGGGAAAATCGTGATAGGAATGACATTAGAAGTAACTTAAGAGACGGGATGAAAAATAAAAAAAGAAAAGAAATAAAAAAACAATATATAGATATTATGAAAGGTTTGCTTCTTTAATTTTTATTAGCACGCATGACACATAAGATGAATATTGTGAGAGTCAGTGTCGTTTGAAAGCTTACTTCAGGACATGGAAAGATATTTAAAGAACCGTTGAGATTGACAATTAAGATTACAGTGTTGGTGGTTTATTCGATATCTATTGTGAAAGAAATAAAGAGAGAGAGAGAGTGAGAGAGAAAGAGAGAGAGAGAAATAAGAAAAGATACAAAACTTATAACAAATACAGAAAGAAGGGAAAGAAAGAGAGAAGGTAAAAGAGAAAAAACTTGTAAGAAAGAAAGCGATGGAAAGAAACACAAAAAAAACGAAAGAAAAAGGGAAACGATGGAAAGAAACAATAAAAGAAACACAAAAAAAACGAAAGAAAGAAAGAGGAAAAGAAAATGGGAAACGATGGAAAGAAACAATAAAAGAAACACAAAAAAAACGAAAGAAAGAAAGAGGAAAATAAAATGGGAAACGATGGAAAGAAACAATAAAAGAAACACAAAAAAAACGAAAGAAAGAAAGAGGAAAAGAAAATGGGAAACGATGGAAAGAAACAAAAAAAAGAAACACAAAAAAAAAAAAAAAAAGGAAAATAAAATGGGAAACGATGGAAAGAAAAAAAAAAGAAACAAAAAAAAAAAAAAAGAAAGAAAAAGAGGAAAAAAAATGGGAAACGAAAAAAAAAAAAAAAAAAAAGAAAAAAAAACGAAAGATAGAAAGAGGAAAAAAAAAAATGGGAAACGATGGAAAAAAAAGAAAGAAAGAAAGAAAAGGAAAAAAAATAAAAAATAAGAAACTTATAACTTAAATACACAAAAGAAAGAAAAAAAAAAAAAAACTTGAAAGAAAGAAGAAAGAAAGAAAAAAAAACTTATTAAAAAAAAAAATTCAAAGAAAAAAAAGAAAAAAAAGACTCGGAATAAAGAAGGAAAGAGTGAAAAGAAAAACTTGAAAGAAAGTAAGAAAGAAAGAAAGAAAAGATACAAAACTTATCTGAAAGAAAGGAAAGAAAACTTATCTGAAAGAAAGCGAGAAAGAAAGAGAGTGAAAACTTCTCAGAATGTAAGCAAGTATAAATGAGAGAAAAAGAGAAAAAAATGAAAGAAAGAAAGTCTCTCAAGAAAGAAGGAAAGAACGAAAAAGAGAAAAAGTGAGTTAAAAATAAATAAAGAAAAATTTGCAAAAAAGAAGGAAAGACAGAAAAAAGAAAAAGCTTGTGAGAAGGAAATAAAGATTTTCGAAACAGAAAAAAAAAAAAAAGAAAACCTTCCAAAAAGAAAAAAAGAAAAAAAAAGAAAGACGGTAATAGAATCTGGTAGAAGTGGAAGAATACAAAATATTAAAGATGCCAAAAAGAAAGAAAATAAAGAAAAACGTGTAAAAAGAAAGAAAGAAAGAAAGAAAGAAGAGAGAGAAATAAATAGAGCAGGCAAAAAAGAAGGAAAAAACTGACAAAACTAGAATAAAAGAAAGAAATGCAGCAAAACAAGAAAGGAAAGAAGGAAAAAAGACGGAAACTAGTAGGAAATAAAGAAGAACTGAGAAAAAAAGAAAAAAGGAAGAGATTAAAGAAAAAATTCGAAAGAAAGAGAGAGCGAAAGAAGAAAGATAAAAAAAATGGAAAAGAAAATAGAGAGAGAGAAAAAAAGCGATTTCCAAAAAAGATTAAGGAAGAGACTGAAATAAAGTAGAAAGAAAAAAAAATGTAAAAAAAAGAAAAGAGATTTTAAAAAGGTCAGAAAAAAAGAAAGAAACAACAAAAGAAAGAAAGAAAGAAAAACCCAAGAAAGTATGAAGCATAATAAAGGAAGAAAGTATAATAAAGAAAAAACAAAACACAATATAGAAAAAAGCCCAAGAAAGAAAGAAAAAAAGAAAAAAGCACAAGAAAGAAGAAAAGGAACAAGAAAGAAAGAAAAAAAGAAAAAAGCCCTAAGAAAAAAAAAAAAAAAAAAAAGAAAAAGCACAAGAAAGAAAGAAAGAAAGAAAGCATAATAAAAGAAAGTAACAAATCAAGAAAGTAAGAAGCATGATAAAAAAGAAAGAAAGAAAGATACATAATAAATACGCACAATAAAGAAAAAAAAGAAAAGGCACAAGAAAAAAAGAAAGAAGATAGATAGATAGATAGATAGATAGATAGATAGATAGATAGATAGATAGAAAGAAAGAAAAAAAGAAAAGGCACAAGAAAGAAAGAAAAAAAGAAAAGGCACAAGAAAGAAAGAAAAAAAGAAAAGGCACAAGAAAGAAAGAAAAAAAGAAAAGGCACAAGAAAGAAAGAAAAAAAGAAAAGGCACAAGAAAGAAAGAAAAAAGAAAGAAAAAAGAAAAGGCACAAGAAAGAAAGAAAAAAAGAAAAAGCTACCGAAATAAGAAGCATAATAAAAAAGAAAGATAGAAAGAAAAAAGAAAGAAAGAGTGAAAAAATCACAATAAAGTAAATAAACACAATAAAGAAAGAAAGAAAGAAAGAAAGAAAGAAAGAATCAGAATAAAGAAAGAAAGAAGCAGATGTAAACTTGCAGGAGAAAAAAAAAGTAAAAGGCTAGAAAAAATGGAGGCCAGGTGGTAAAAATGAATAACAATGATCAAAGGAAGGAATCTGACGACAAAATATTTTCTGAAAAAATGGGTGTCGGTCGTTGGAGCAGAAAGCCATTAAAAATGCTCTGACCTCTTGTCACAATCAATGGGTATTTATTACAACTTTTCCCCTCATTTCTTACTCAGTAAAGAACGAACGGTTTCAAACGAGCAAGTGGAGACAAAACCACAAAGCTCGATAGCGCCGCCCACATTGAACAACTTACAATTGGCTCGGATGAAAAGACATCTTTGCTTCAAAAATAAACGTATGTCACTTTTGTCGTTGTGAAATCAGTTGCAGAAAGGAATTTATGAAATATGGTTGTTTGTTCGGCTTTAGGGATTTAAAAATAATAATAATAATTTATGTTGTTTGGTTTGGTTTGGTTTGTTTTTTGTTTTATGGCATATCAACATCAGTGGGTTATTTAATGCTGAAAATATGTTATCTTCAAAAATCTATTTCTGGGAATATTTTTCCTTGAAGAAATCTATAGCTGGTCATATTTTTCAAAAAATGTATAACTGTGTGTATTGTTGGTATTTTTTTCCAAAGTATTGCTGATAATAATTTTCCTTCAAAAATAATAATTTTTTATTACAAAGTATTTCTGGTATTAAAACATATTTTTACAAAACTTTGAGTGTTAACTATTTGTCCATAGCTGGGACCCTAACAGGTGCTACCACCCCGGATCAGGGTAGACCTGGGAACACCAGCAATTAAGAGTTGGCTCCATGCTCGCCAAAACCTCCTGATCAAAAGCCTTGCTGCTGGACGTAGTTTATCGTCTTACCCAGGACGCGGATGTAGTTTATCGTCATGCCCAGGACGAAATTTATGTTGGGAAGACGAAGCAAGAATTCACAAAATAAGAAAAATACCAGGGATAAAAGTTCATTAGAACAGATGTAAGACCTTCTCAGTTCTTGGAGGGACTCCTTCCGGATTGACTGCATCTTGACCAAGTGCGAACTATTGGAACTATTTAATCCATAGTGGGAGGCCTCGAATGCTAAAACGATGACAGAATGTTTATCTATACAATTTCAGATTCTGACATTATGTGCTCACCTCAAGCAAAAACGGCACGAAGAATGCTGAAATGTTCTCAGTCCAACTAAGAAAAGGTATTTTTAAAATCTGATATTTTTATATATATATATATATATATATATATATATATATATATACTGCAGTTCAAAAGTTTGAGGCCACCCCCAAAATTAGTATGAACTTGACAGAAGATTGAAAAATAAAAATGAAAAAGAGCTCTTAGAGTTACCGAAAAAAAAGAATGGAATCAATTATCAAACTTATACTTTGAGAATCTTTTGCTATAAATGCCAAAGATTAGTGCTGCAGTAATCAAGGTTAAAGGAGCATATTTTGAGGAGAGCAAAATTTAATCATAAAATGCATCTTTTTTCTTTATATCATAATAAAAAATCATGTCTCCCTTTTTATTAATCATGTATAATAACTTTCTCTACTTTTGAACAGTAGGATATATATATATATATATAATCGACTCTCCCGTCGAGATTCGACGTTTAAGGGTCAAGCAGATCAGTTTCCAGGAAACCGACAGCCCGACACCGGCACATGAGATTTGATTAATAATCAGTGGTGAAGGCCTCGTGCAGGACCATCCACACTTTTTTGAAGGGACGAATACAGAGACCTGATGCACCGAATGCCACAAGGTTTCCAAACGACCCTCCGCAGGTTCAGAGTTGTCCTTCTCCTAGACCAGTTGCCATCCATGGCTATAGAACCCACTCTGTCCTGCTATTTTACCCATAGCAGGAGGAAGAAGATTCATACCTTTCCCAAGGGTATTAGCACGTAATCAATTATCAATGGATTCGACTGGAATTCAAACTCGGCTCTGCGATTCCTCAATCCAAGCCGTTATCCATTACTCCATATATATATATATATATATATATATATATATATATATATATATATATTATTTATTCGAAAATTATAACATGAATGTGTTATAAAATCACTACAAAAATAACTATTTTGTTTCAACACTTCTGGGTCTTATCAAGTGATGGTGATGAATATATGTAGGTGGAATTAAGACTTTCCTGATAGAGTCACAGCTTCGCTGGGCTGGTCATGTTGCAAAGATAAGTGACGAAAAAATACCTGAGGCCCTCGTATATAGCCAGCATGACAGTGGACAAAGGAGTGTTTGGCGGTCTTGGCTCGTGAAACATGTCACTAGCGGGACTGAAGTGTCACATACGACACAAAGATAAAAACCGAATGAAGTTGTCGGATTCTCATACGTCGAAATCGATAGGAGTGTGTATATATATATATATATATATATATCGAGAGAGAGAGAGAGTAATGGATAGCGGCTTGGGTCCAAGAATCGGAGAGCCGAGTTCGAATTCCAGTCGAATCCATTCACTTACGTGCTAATACCCTTTGGAAAAGGTACGAATCCTCTTCTCTCTCCAGCTATGGGTAAATAGCCTATAGTTCTATAGCCTTGGATAGCAACTGGTCTAGAAGGAGAAAGACAACTCTGAATTCAAAACATGCGCCACAAAGTCCCCAAACGTATTGGTTCTTCCCTTCAAAATGTGGAGATGGTTCTGCACAAAACCTTCACCACTATAATCAAATCTCATGTACTGGCCGGGCTTTCGTTTCCTAGGAACTTTAACCTCATACGTCGAATTCGACGGGAGAGTCCAGTATATATATATATATATATATATATATATATATATATATAATGAAAAAACAGACTAATAAAAATAGTAGTTAACTTATATTAAGTCCCTAAACTATTTACTTAAAAAACTAAATATTTAAATTGATAACATTCATCATTTTTTAGACATCTAAATTTCTATCAAGCATTGAAATCTATCTTTTACATAGCCTTTTCGATTACTTCCCTCTCCCCTCTCTGAAATATAACACTCTTTTTAGATATATCTGTATTACTGTTGTCTATTCCTCTCTCCTTTCCATTTTTCCTTTTCTTTTCCCCCCACTACCCTCCCATTCCTATATATCATTTCCGTTAAGTTAACCATCTAAATAGGTCACGATTAGGTCACTCCTCCTACCCCAATATAAAACATGCTTAAGAGAAATATGAAATTTACCCCTCTCTATACTCTACCTCGTCTCGTTAACTACAACTATCACCCTCCCTGTTAAATTACAAAAATTACACTACCCATCCATTTCTAATCCCATTTTTCCTTTCATTTCGTTGTTGGAAAGTGTTACCTGATGATCCAGAGTCCTTCAAAAAGGATTTTGGTGAAATAAATTATTGTAATGGTACCTTAAAGTGGTCGGTTTTTTCATTAAATATTAGCTCTGTATTCACATTGAGCTCTCAAGATTTCATCCTCCTTGGAATTACCCATTCGGTTTACCAAGTTCTTCGTAACTATATATGTGTGTGTGTGTGTGTGTGATCTTCAGAGCACAGTTTTCTCATACTAAGACGAAATATGTGTAGACCTGAAGATGACAATTTGAAATTGTCGAAAGTACTTGGCAGGTGTCTTCCATCTAACACATCGAAAATAAGGATCTTATTATTCAAGGAACTGATAGTAAGTTAATGCCTCATTAAATCCTGTTAGTGAAGTGATTTCGCCATTAATCACATTAAAATTGCTTTTTAATTCTTTGTACAAATTGTTGGAGGTAACTCACTAATTTTTGTGAATTGCAAGTATATGACTATTTAATCCATTTTTTTTATTCAGAGATTATCTTCTCTTAAACTGATTGGCACTCAAAGATACAGTACCCAGTCTCTCCTGCTTTTATAAAAGAGATGGATTCATACCTTTGCATAGGGTATTTGCACGTAAGTGAATGTAACAACTTCGAGTGGGATTCGAACTCGGCTCGCCGCTTCCTCAAACCGAACCGTTATCCATTACTCCACCGCTCCTTCTCAAAATAGAAACAGAAAACATCCAAAGATCCCAGGCGAATTCCAAATTGACTTGTTTAAACCCCGTATATAAAATGGCACGGCATTTAAACAGATTCTACCTACATCGTTCTGTCTATTTTAAAATCGTATAACGATTATTTATACCTTCTGCCTCTTCCGTTTCTCCCCTCGAATAGATCAATGGGAAAACATCTGGTTGGGTTTTTTTTTTTTTAATAACCAAGATAATATCGTTTCGTTACCAGCAATTCTCATCACTCACAGTGAGCAGTGGCCCTCTTAACGAAGGCTTCAGGTTTTTAGGTCTCAAGGCCACTCCCGACCTCAAGTGAAAACCATATATACGATCTATTGTTGGAAAATGGAGCAAGAGAGAAGAAAGGAAAAATAAACTGAAAGAAAGAAAGAACCTGGTGGGAGGGTAAAAGAAAGGAAAATTTACAAGAAAGAAAGAAGTTAAAACTTATCAGAAAGAAAAACAAAAAGAACAGAAAGGGGAAAGAACATGGTGGAAGAAAGAAAGAAATAAAAACTTGTAAGAAAAAAAAAGAAAGAAAAAGAAAAAAGAAAAAAAAAAGAAAAAAAAAAAGAGAAAAAGAGAAATCAAAAAAAGAAAAAAGAAAGAGAAAGAAAAAGAAAGAAAAAGAAAGAGAAAGAAAGAAAGAAAAAAAAAAAGAGAAAGAAAAGAAAAAAGAGAAAAAAAAGAGAAAAGAAAGAAAGAGAAAGAAAAGAGAAAGAAAAGAGAAAAGAAAGAGAAAAAGAAAGAAAAGAAAAGAGAAAAAGAAAGAAAAGAGAAAAAGAAAGAAAAGAGAAAGAGAAAGAAAAGAGAAAGAGAAAGAAAAGAAAAAAGAAAAAGAGAAAGAGAAAGAAAAGAGAAAGAGAAAGAAAAGAGAAAGAAAAGAGAAAGAGAAAGAAAAGAGAAAGAAAAGAGAAAGAGAAAGAAAAGAGAAAGAAAAGAGAAAGAGAAAGAAAGAATCAGGTAAGAGAGAAAAAGGACAAATTTGTAAGAAAAAAGAGAAACAAAAAAAGATAAAGAGAGAAGGATGGAAAAAACTTGCAGAAAAGAAAGGAAAAAAAAGAAAAAGAAACAAAGAAAGATGAAAAAACTTGCAAGGAAGAAAGAAAAAAAGAGAGAAAGAATCTGGTGGAAGCAAAAAAAGAATGAAAAATTTACAAGAAGAAAGAAAGAAACACAAACCTGCAAGAAAGAAAGAACGAAAGAAAAATAAAAGGAAAGAGAAATAATCTGGTGGGAGAAGAAAAAAATGAATATTGTCAAGAAAGAAAGAAAAAGTAAAGAAAAATTGCAAGGAAAAAGAAAAAAGAAAGAAAGAAAGAAAAAGAAAGAAAGAAGAAAGAAAGAAAAAGAAAAAGAAAGAAAAAAGAAAGAAAGAAAAAAGAAAGAAAGAAAAAAGAAAGAAATAAAGAAAAAAAAAAGATGACAAAAGTTGCAAAAACGAAAGAAAGAAAGAAAATGAGAGAGAAATAATCTATAATTTTTCCTTTATTTTCATTTTTCAAATCTCTACTAAAAGAAGTGTTTGACTCAAACAACACAAAACGACTATTTTTTTTTCTTTATTTTTATTTTGGTCAGCATTGAATTTTCCGTTGCGCTCTGTCCGAATACAGAAACACAATTCAGAAATCAAATATATTCTGATATACTACACTGACCGCCACCATACTAGTTGTATGTGACACACGGTCAATTTAATGTGAGGACTCCTAACGCGTGCACTCGGTGCCAGGTACAAAAATATCCCCGCCTCCTACAACCAAAAAAAAAAAAAAAAAAAACTTTGTAGAATACAGAGGAAATGTGAGTGACAGTTCTGTAGCATGTAAGGAAGAGGCCAGCACTCAGATTTGCCGCAATGACCCTCAAAACAACACTGGCTGTAAAATTTATGTCCTAAAATGGCAACTTGTGCATGTCTCGTGACACTGGACGCAACAAAAAGATATACATGCTTTGAAATCACTGGACCGTAATCGACTAACCTACATTTCAGTAGAAAAGCGACCGCGTGAGGACAATCATACCCGACCAACAACAACAGCTTTAATATTATTAACAACAATAAAATTCCAGCTGAAAAGGCGAACCACATTCACAGTTGTTAGAATGAAGCGGTTAATTCATACGGGATTCAGCGGTGAACACTGCTATTAATAGCAATAAGCATTTCTGTCATTCGTACGAGCATTGAATACTGCCGCCATATCCAGTTTAGTGCTTCTGTCCCATATCTCGAGATTCTTGACAAATTTCAAAGAAGAATCTCTAATATAACCGGTCCTGATCTGGCATCTCCACAATACGTGGATTCTCTCAGTCTTTTCTACAAATATTTTCATGGCAATTGTTCTGAAGAGGTTTTTCTCTTAGTGCCTCGACTAGTTGAATTTATTGGAAGTAAACCCTATTGTCAACACAATTACATGGCCGCAATACAAGGGTTAAATGCCATACGTGAAACCTGCTTGGGCGATCATGTCTCTTTTGATTCATGACTGAATAGGCAGAAGATATTCCCGCAGTAGGTTGCCATTTCTTTCTGCGGTAGACTAGTGGCCAACCAAGACTATAGGACCCATTCTGTCCTGTTATTCAAATCATAGCCGAGGGAAGAAGTGATAAAGCAAGTAAAGTGCCATCACGTGATACACACTTGGGCGATCATGTCTCTTTTGATTCATGACTGAATAGGCAGAAGATATTCCCGCAGTAGGTTGCCATTTCTTTCTGTGGTAGACTTGTTGCCAACCAAGGCTATAGGACCCATTCTGTCCTGTTATTCAAATCATAGCCGAGGGAAGAAGACAAAGCCAGTAAAGTGTCATCACATGATACACACTTGGGCGATCATGTCTCTTTCGATTCATGACTGAATAGGCAGAAGATATTCCCGCAGTAGGTCGCCATTTCTTTCTGCGGTAGACTAGTGGCCAACCAAGACTATAGGACTCAGTCAGTGATGCTATTCAACCTAAGCTGGGAATAGAAGAGATGAATTCATTTCTTTGCCAATGGTATTTGTACGTAAACGAACGTAATGAACTCGAACGGAATTCGAACTCGGCTCTCCGATTTCTCGTTCCAGGCTGATATCTATTACACCCAAATTTTATTTTCTACCCAATAAGACGCCCAAAAGATTTCGCAATACAACACACACCGTTTAATTCAAAATGTCTATTGGTTAGAAATTAATACCACCATGTGAAATATTTGACCAACCAGAGAAAACTTAAAAGCCTATTGTGCGATTGGCGAATAATGGCTCGGAATTGTTAATCAGAGAGCCGAGTTCCCGTACGATTACTGAATGAGCAACGTCGAGCCTGGTCAGTACCTAAATGGGTGACCGCTTTGGAATGCCATGTGGTGTAAGCTTGGATGTGTGGCTGGTGTAATGGATAATGGCTCGGAATTATTACTGGGGGAACCGAGTTCCCTTATGATCACCGAAGTTGAGCAACGTCAAGCCTGGTCAGTACCTAAATGGGTAACCGCTTGTGAATGCCATATACTGTAAGCTTGGGTGTGCTGGTGGTGTCATAGATAATGGCTCGGAATTGTTAATCGGGAAGCCAAGTTCCGGTTATTCACTTGCGCGCAAATACCCTTAGGAAAGGCATGAATCCACCACCCCGCTCCGAAAAAACTACATCACAGACATATGTGTCATAAAACACTTTAAACGCACTGGTAGTTCGTACTATGACCATTACCGCTTTGCTTGGTGTGAAATTATTTAAAAACTATCTGTATTGTATATGGATCTGTTATTCACGGTAACCTATGGCGTCTACTAGGATGGCTAGTTATTCCCTGTTGCAGACATGCTCAGGCAGATTGGTATTTTTTAACACCTACTCCTTAAATCCTTTTCTCTTATTGTTTTTATCCTTAACAGTATTTTTAATATTCTCTTAGACTCAGTAACGAATTGCGTCTTAGCGGCTTCGTTGCCTTGCTTGGGTGAATTTTTTTTTTAAATTCTTGTATATTGTATAGGCACCCGTCACTCACTGGAGACTATGGAGTATATTAGGATGGCTAGCTATTCCCTGTTGCAGACGCGTGCTCAGACAGATTTATATTTCTTCAACACCGACAGAGTCAACCTACGGTTCATACTGAAACTCTGATAAGCAGATCTTAGGTACAGTTTCTGGGAGACAGCACATAATCTGGCGTGATCAGTAGCTGAACAAGGCCAAAAACACTCAAAACCTCGGTCACGATGACTGGTGACTTCGAGTCAGCAGAACCATACGAGCCGTTTCGTCTACCCAATTTCATTCGCAAGGTTGGCAATGGTTTACGAGCAAGTTACTTCCCAACGGCGCCACACGCTTCGGACGTCTCTCACGGTCAATGGCATCAAGGAGTGACCTCCTTGACAGATTCGTACCTGGATTTCATTGATGGAAAACAAAACGTACTAACTCCTATTCTAACCAGGTTATATGTTTTATTAAATAGAATTGAAATTGAATGTCTATTGAGTACTCAAAACAAACATTACACACAATTTCGGCAAGTTCCTTGGCAACATTCCACTTGATATCAATTTATTTCAAATCAAAACGATCACCTAACATTCCGTCCCTGTTCTATTTAATATGTTTAAACGAATGACTGCTTCATAAATTATATATATATATATATATATATATATATATATATATATATATATATATATAATGAAAAACTAGGTAATCCGTATGGGTAAACCCAAGGAGGATAAAATCCAGAGAGCTCAATGTAAATCCAGAGCAAATAATTTAAATAAAAACAGACCACTTTAAGGTTTCATGTAATAAATTATTTCACCACAGCCCTTTTAAAGGACTGCGGATCATCAGACTTTACTTCCAAATGTTGAAACAAAAAATGAAAAGAAATTTACACATTTTTGACGGGTCGTATTAAGCATATGTAAATTAACGAAGTGAGGGGGAAGAGAGAAAGTGAGTTAGATGTAATTTAAAATTTCTATTCTTTTACACTTAAAATTACTTGAGGTCCAGACATTGACACATTTAAACGGATAACTTAACTATATATATATATATATATATATATATATATATATATATATATATAGAGAGAGAGAGAGAGAGAGATAGATAGATAGATAGATAGATAGATAGATAGATAGATAGATAGGGTATGATAAAAAACATACATATACTCACACGTACATCCACCTTTGCGCAGATTAATTGAAAGAACCGCTTTAGTTTCCTTTCTTTCACCATACGGCCATATGTATTTATATTATACGCATAAAACAAGCAAAGATAATGAACAAAAAAATGACTTATATAATAATAATACTAGGGATATTCTATGAATTATAAACATTGGCTTTAGTTTACCGGTATTGATAACCCTATGTAAATCCGACCTTGTGCCACATCCCACATAAGATTTGGTTTGGTTGATTTTGTTTAGCGGCATATCAACATTTCTATGGGTTATTTATTGCCGAATTCTAAACATTTTTAACACAATTTCATGGCGTCAACTGTAGATAAAATGTATTGTTGGTTATTTTGCTATAAAAGCTATTGTTGGTAATTTTTACTATAAAAATGTATTTTTATACATTCATAGTGTTTTGTTTTTGCTTGGAGGAGATTCATCATTTGCCCGTAGCTGGGACCCTAACAGGTGCTACTACCGCGGCTCAGGGTGGAGCTGGAAACAACAACAACAATTAAGTCAGTTCAGTTCCTTGCCATGCGGAATACACCCTTAGGCGATCATGCATCATTCGATACATGACTGACGAGGCAGATTTTTCCCCCTCAGTAGGTTGCCATTTCTTTCTGTGGTAGACCAGTTGTCATCCAAGGCAATAGAACCCGATCTGTTCCTGCTATTTACCCATAGGGGGAGAAGAGGATTCATAACTTACACAAGGGTATTAGAACGTAAGTGAATGTAATGAATTTGACTGGAATTCGAACTCGGCTCTCTGATTCCTCAATCCGAGCTGCAGGTGGTTTCACGCACCTTAAAACCTGCGATATCCTGATCAGCGGCCACATAAGAGATGTGACAGGTAAATACGTAATATCTTAATATTTATTTGCGAGCCGGACAGTTTTTTCACGGTAAAGATACGGCTCATGTCTGGCTGACAGTAAGTAATTGTGTTTAGTATGTCAAGCAACAGTACAACTAAGCATGAAAGACTAACTATGGGTAATAATTAAGTCTCTAATGATTGTAGTAAAATTTAAAACCGCGATTATTTACATTTATTCTGAAAATTGCTTCACGGAATAGATACGGCCCACGGACCATAAATTGCTTACCCCCTGATCTAATTAGACAGACGGAGCCGCCAAGTCGCAGTGTCTACCTTTTTCCAGGTTTTACCTCATAACAATAATCATAGTAAATAAATATTTCAACATCATCATCAACGCCATAAGAAGAATCTCTGCCCTTTCCACTCTTCATTTACATAATTATTATCATTCAGAATTGGTTTAGATTTTACAAGTACTCAGTTTTCAGCGGTAGGCCTGTAATAGCCAATGTCATGAAACCTAGGGCTTCATTAGTCGATTGACGAGAATCCAATCAGAATATTTTAGATGCAAGTAAATTTTCACTATTGCCCTCATCTTTGTCGCCATATTTATCACAACGTTTCGGCCGTTGTACGCTCCGGCCTTCTTCAGGTGGTTGGAATTCCGAACTAAATCCTTTATTACGCTCGCTGGGGTAAACTGTTCTAGTTCCACGTGCCATGTTTAATGGATGTCAGTTATCAGTTATCTCCTGTTAATTCACCTCTCCAAGTTCTCCACTGTCTTAACCAGGTATTGAACTCACAACTCTTTGGGTCCTGTCACTGGATCTAACCAACGCCTTTATCCACTGTGCCATGTGTCCTTAAGGATAAAGGCGTTGACAGGACCACGTCGAAGTACCTAAACGATTTTCTAAACGTAGCTTAGATGTAACACAAGGCCAAAAGTATGGAGCACCCAGTTAGAATCGAACTCACTTTTCAGTCGAAATTTATGTAGCAAGACAAGTTTGCTAACCGTTACACCACATCGTAGTCCCCTTACCATTTTCTAAGCGTATCTTAGATGTGACACAAGGCCAAAATTATGGTGCGCCCGGTGAGGATTAAATTCACTACTCAGTCGTAATTGATCTAATGAATCAAGTTTGCTAAGCATTACATAACGCTGGGGTGCCCAAATTGGTATTTTCTAAGCGTAGCTGACATGTGGCACAAGGCCGAATGTGTGGAGCACCCAGGGAGGCTCAAACTCAGTCGTAATTGATCCAGCGGGACAAGCTTGCTGACCCTTACAGCACGTCGAATACCGAACGCTATAGACTTGGTTGGCAACTAGTCGAAAAATTCAAACCTGGTGAGTGATGGGCTCCGTCTGGCTATCTTGACCAAGATAAAATACGGCTGCTATGATTGTAGTTAATGTGGTGCCCCTTATGGTGTACGAGTCTTGTGACTTGTGAATTTGGTAGCCTAGCAACTAATCCAGAAGATAATCTTTAATTCCAAATCGGACCAAAACTATCCTAAAAGCGTGAATACATGCGGCTGGAAATAATCTGTGAATCTAAATTCAAATGACACTCTTATTATGGATTTGAACGTCAACACGATAACTATGAATACTTCTTTTAAAATCTCTGCGTCAAATAAGCAAGAGAAAACTTATTCTTTGTTTTCACTTAAGTGCAAATGTCATCACAGGTTTCAGTCTTAAAGACAACTCTTACCTTCTTGAAAAATAAACACAAAAAAGAATTCCTTTGCGCAACCCGATTTTGAATTTATTATTTGAAATTTCTATTGGATTAAGCAACATTATTAACGTTTGGCTAACAATTCTTTCATCTTTATTTTAAATTCTTTATTTCCACTAGTAGCATTAGTAGTAGTAATATTACCTGGAATTTTAATTAGATGAAGCATTGTCAAGCATTATTCATTTTGGACTGAAATTTCTTTCATCTTTATTTTAATTGCTTTATTTCCACTGGTAGTATTAGTAGTAGTAGTAATACTTTTTTAATCTTTTCACACAAAGCAAAGTAATAAAGCCACTAAAACGCAAAAAGTCACTTAGTGTGAAAGAATATGAGAAAAAGAAAACATTATTAAGGAGAAAGGAAAATAAAAAAAAAATTGACAGAAGATAATGACTGACATTGCATTGCAATTTTTAAAGGTCAACGTTGACGGAAAAGCAAGAAACCGAAATAGAGTTCCACAAGGAAGAAGTGCGAGAGATGAAAATGTTAGCATAGAAATTACGGTGACATACAGACATTTCAAGAGTAAAATTCATAAAAGAGGAACAAAAGAGGAAAGCTCATCAGGACAATTACAATGAAAATACAGTAGAATCCTTCATATCTGGAATTCCTTATATCAGGACATGATTTTGATGTGTATATTTGAACTATATTGGTGATATATAACTGATTTGAAATTTCTGTTTTTCAGAAAAAATCCCTTTGGATAATTGCTTATGCTTATTTCACTTGTATTGGTGCAAAAATGATGGGAATAAGAGGAAAAGAACAACTTTGGAGTTATCGCAAAAAGTAGAAATTTTAAACAGACTAGACGCTGGTGAAAGTTCATCGTAACTAATGGCTGTGTTCAACATAGGAAAGTCAACATTTTATGATATAAAATCTTCCAAAGAAACTATTCTCTAGCGTTCACACTGTCACAACGAACAAGGAAATAAAAAAAACAAAAAAAAAGCATGATTGTGATGAAACCTGGACTGAATTTGAAAAACTATTGAAAAGGCTGTCAGTTTTATGGAAAGAAATCTAGCATTCAGCTATGACAACTGCAATAACGTACACAGAGTTAAAAAAGTGTTTTTTGCTTTAAAAATTACAGGAACAAGAGCAAAACGAAATGCGGAAAAAGTTGAGAATGACATTAGAAGAGAAAGACTTATTATGCAACAGCGATTAAAAAATCCGCGTTACATTGTTTTGCATACGTCGCATAGTTTAATGAATTTTCATTAACATTACATAATTTATTTCTTTTTCCTTAAAATCATTTCCGTTATATTTCACTCACGATTAGCTTATTTTGTTTACATTGAAAATAAATGCTAAACCTGATTTCAGTTCTTTTATTTTAATTTAAACATAATCCTTTGTAACCAATTCCTCAGATACGGAATGCCTTCACAGTCCGATTGTCATGGATTTTACTGTATTTATAGATAATGCGCAGGGAACCTAGGTTACCTTATATTATATGATTTTTTTATAAGATGAAGCATTGTCAAGCATTACTCATTTTTGACAAGTGTTTCTTTCGTCTTAATTTCACTTTCAAAGGAATCGCTGTTGACTGATCACAGTATTACTCTTTGTTTTCTATTCGTCACAGATCGAAAAGCTGAATAGTTGTCATGAAAAGCAACTTAAAAATGTAAGAAATAAAAACTTTCACTAAAAATAAAATATAGATATTTTTAGCGCAAACTTAGAAAAAACTGAAAAGGTCTTTTCAATCCCCTTGCGTTCTGCCCATCGCCAAGTTATAAACTACATGTTTTGATGTCACATAAGCATATATACATACACGTATAAAATTCACATAAGCATATATACATACACGTATAAAATTCACATAAGCATATATACATACACACGAAAAGGTGGAGAATTACTCAGAACGAATTCTGACTCGGTTCTCTTACGCATGCGCATAACATTCCAGCAAGCCATAACAGACGAGATAATATATTACAATTCGTTTGCATTTATAGAAGACAGCCAAGAGTAAATTTTATGTACATTTGAATGGATTGTATTTCTTTTAAGTGTATTTTTGTTTTAATTTTATGGTTTTATAGTAAAGATCTCTCACGGCTCGTGTCTGCTTTCGCAGAACGGGTCAGTCGTTCTTCATTCACAAATGAGTAACTGTATGATGACCTCATTCAAGCAAGACCAACAACGCCCTGTTTCACTCGTGTGAAATAACAGAATTATAGGCAAACCTTTTTTTCTTCATAATAATGACACAACTCAGAGGGGAAATAAAGGAAAGAAACATAAAAACAGGGGAGATTTATTATTGGTCTTTTGTTCCATAAACAAAGCAACAAATTGCTAAAAATAAAAGCGATCATCAAAGAACCTATTCAGGCAGATTTTTTTTTTAAAGTTCACTAAATACAAGGAACAAGAGCCACGCAGAGTAGAGTTTTACTGAATGTGATATAAACCTAAAAGGCGGTGGTAAAATGGAATATTATGAGTATATGGACGGATAGACAACGACTGACCCTAGACTTGAAGTGATTAAGATGTGGCCATGTGGGAGTCTGTTCGACAAAATAAAGGTTCTAGAAAAAAAAAAACTTTCGAAGTGGAACCCCTTTTTTATGAATGAATACCAGAGAATGAGATGATTAAATTCTGTGGATTTAGACGGTGGGTATAGGCTGTAGGAAGGTCTGAGGTGATGGAACTAAAGAATGAAGCTCATTGGAATATTTGCCATGGAAATAGAGGAGAAGTAATGGATAATGGCTTGGATTGAGGAATCGCAGAGCCGAATTCGAATTCCAGTCGGATCCATTACATTCACTTACGTGCTAATGCCCTTGAGAAATGTATGAATCCTCTTCTTAAACCCCCACCCCAGCTATGGTAAAATAGTAAGACAGATTGGATTCTAAAGCCCTGTAAAAGAGAAGGGAAAACTGAATTCAAAACCGGCTTCGCCTCTGTTAGGCCCCGTCAGACCACGGGGCTCCATTCTCGTTAGTGAACCTACTTAGGGAGCCCTTCTCCACCTTATCCCTCCCTCTTTCTTTGAAAAGAAAAAGAAGATACAAATAAGTTTGCCTGTTAGGGGAAAGAAAATGCATAGTGAAAAATGTCTACGTAAACTCTTGAACTCTGTCAAGGGTGGAAAGTAGACATTATGTAGCTCCAGACCAGATATGGCAGCAATACTATTTACATTATTCAGACTATTGTCCTCATCTGTGTCGCCATATTTATTACAACGTTTCGGCCGTTGAACTCTCCGGCCTTCTTCAGGTGGTTGGAACGTCGAACTAAACCCTTTATTTCGCTCACTGGGGTAGACTGTTCTAGTTCCACGTGCCATGTTTAAAGGTTGCTGAAGACATTAGGTTTATAATAATCAGAAATTCGTACACAGATGTTCTTAATGACACATAGCACAGTGGATAAAGGCGTTGGCTAGATCCAGTGAAAAGACCCAAAGAGAGTGAGTTCAATACCCGGTTAAGACAGTGAAGAAGGCTGGAGAGGGGAATTAACAGGAGATAACTGACATCCATTTTACATGGCATCCTTCTGTAGAACTACATTTCTGTGACTTTTACTACTAGGAGATTGTCCGACATCCTCTAAGATATAAGACAGTGGTTCCCGACCGATTTTGGGCCATACCC